CATACAGAGTAGGAATTCCAAATATAACTCTCATCATATGCTAATTTACCAAGTTCAAAATTTTATATTTGATAATGAAAATCCAAACTAGTCCTGATTCACGGTGTTGTTGAGCTCATTCTTGCCACCATCCTTATCTAATTTCACTGATAACTATTTTATACTGGCTCAATTTTTTTTACCATATACAGCCACAATTCCAAGTTTTTTTAGTCATACTGTTGGAAATCCAACCTCATCAACCGGTATGTGGCGAGATAACTAGGCCATATTTTATTTTAGTAGCCATAACTGCCTGGATTTCCAGGATTTTTTTTTTCCGTACTCGTCTGGATTTCCAGATTCTGTTTCTCCATATACAGTTGGATTTCCGGGGTATTTTCCCCATCATACAGTGCTGGAAATCCGACCACATGAACAGGAGGGGGGGGTGCAGATATAAACTGGAATGGCCCATTTTCAGATAGATGTACCGTAATTCGTAGAGCAATGAAAACATTCTGAGCATATGTGTGGTCCATAGATTGTAGAACACAGGTTTAAATAATTCAATCTTTCTGCATTACTTACTTTCTTGACAGAAAACCAATATTAAGCAAGTTGATATTTTAATTATTTCGGCCATAACAACAGCTGTAGATGATAAATACTTTGGTCCTTGTTCGACTACGGCTCTGGAGTATCTCAACATCAAGACTAAGGAAGTGGTCTGAACTATCAGTATACTTAACGACATGTACTTCAACCGATTTGATCCCATCTAAAAATAAAAACAAGCTGAATTTGAAAATTTGAATGAAATGAAATTTGAATGAAAATAATATTAAAGAGAGAATAAAATAATTATAAAGACATTAAAATTACACACATTATAACACATGCCTGTAACAAGGCAGTTTTCACCATGAGTCTATATATAGAAAATCTGATAATGATTTCAACATTTGAAATGAAATGATGTTGTATGGCAGTAAATTGCATTCATGCTACAACTGGTTATACTCTACATCTTTCAGAGATTTGATGTCATCTGACTAATACTTTATGACTTTAAAACCCTGTTTGTACTTGCAGAAAAAGTCTTGGATATATCAATAATCAGACACAGAAAGTTTAGTCTAATTAACAAGTCATAACATGACATGGTTCCTGTCAACCATTTTGAGCCACAACTAAAAACAAAAGTCTAGTTATGTGTGATGTGTCATGCGATGCGATGAGATGTGATGTGATGTGTCATGCGATGCAATGAGATGTGATGTGATGTGATGTGGTGATGCGATGTGGAGATGTGATGTGTGATGTGATGTGCCTTCATAATTGCAGAAATGCTTTATCTTTATACTTTTTACTAATAAATTAAACTAATCATTTAATAAATGAATATGCAAAGTAATTGGACTGTCCAATAAGCCATTTTTCGCAAGCCGTGAGATCACGCGTGACCATGGTTTACGCACCTTAGCAACCAACTGAGTCACGTGATACAGGTCAAGCTTTCAGTTCAATACGATAGCAACCACAGTGTTGTAAACTTCAACTCGCAACAATATCTGTCCCAATGGGAGTCAATCGGTGCAAATGGCGCGCTAACGACGAATGTAAGAGTGATTCTCGTATCAGTACAAAAATTATATGAATACTGTTTTTGTTGTTTTTTTGCGATTCCTAAAACCAAAAACGCAGTCTGAAAAGTATGTGGGATCGATGGATCAGTGCCTGTTCTCGGGCAGACAATTTTGGTTGACACAGAATCATCCAGGACATGTACATGTATGCTTGTTTACTGCACTTTGTGGGCGAAAGGGTCCTTCGGAGTCGTATTCAGACCCAAAACAGCGATTGCGAGAGGTGTCGAACGTCGTATATTCGAGTCGATGACATCGTTGAGCGGCAATCAAAAGAAGCGCCGGTAAACATTGAAACCTGTTGATACGGTTTAACTTTGTTTTGCAAGTTGTACGGGTCGGAACTTTATCGTGCTTGTTTTCATGCCATCAATATTTGTTATTTTAATTTTATGATCGCGTATTTTATTGCAATGCCGAATAAAACGTGGGATTGACTTTTTTTTTTTATTTACAACTCACAAGTGTACATCTTAAATTGTCTTATCATTAGTATCCCGATGAAAACAAGATTTCTGACATTGCTGTTACCTCAGAATTTTAAAAGGATTTAAATGCGAAAAGCTATGCATTTAATGATAACAATATTGCCATAAAGTTACGGAATACGCCTCCTGACAAAGAGCTAAGCCTGAATGTTGGCAAGTGAACTAATTCTATTACAAAATGCCAAATTAAATTGTAATATTTAATACTTTGTTTTGTAGTTTATTCAACTTCCCTTCTATGTCGAAAAGTTATGAATTTTCAAGCTATGTATTTTTTTTAAAGCATGCTTGTTGTTTACAATATTGACAGTTTCCTGTTATTTGTATGGATGCTTGTGCCTATCATGCAGTGTCGACAGATTGTTGTTATCCATATGAACTAATGTGTGAATCATTCAATATTGGCCGTTTCCCGATATTTAAAGCTGTTCATGCTAGTAATGGTGAAAGTAGCAGTAATGTGAAGTATGTGCCTTTGACATGTGATGCCATTACACAGACAGGTGTTACATTCAAACATGCCAGTCGCTCGATATGTAGGCCCTGAGCTTTTTCCGGTCATAGTCGCAGTGATAGCACATTAAAATATCGGACAAACCTAATTTCGGGACATTCCTGAAATCAATATAGAGTAGCCCGGTAATTTTAAAGGTTCGATGAAATTGCAGTCTTGAAGCGACGCAATGTTTTGGGATCACGGCGTAAACAAATCAGGGTCTTCCTCGAGCTAAAACTGAAATCGTGCACAACTTTAGCGATTGCAAGAAAAATATACTTTTTATAGTTGGATGATGACACGCCGAATTTATGCAGGAAGTCTTTGAGCACGGTCATTCTGTCGAAGTCAGCCATGGTCGAAAACCTGAAACAGATAAATCACTCGGATATTTAACGCATGACACTAGACACACGCACGATTTAGTGCTATTTTGATTCAAAGCTTGACCTGTATCACATGACTAGCAACCGGTTGCCAGGCAAATTTAGCCATCTCGCGAGATCTCGACCGAAGCAGAAAATAGTCTATTCAAAGCTATATAACCAAGAAAAAGATTTGTTTTTGGTCTAGGGAGGTTTTTTGATACTTTTTACAAGTAATTAAGTATGCAAATTAAATTGCATTAAATTGACTAATATGAACTATTATACATATAGCACATGGTAAAATAATTACACATTCAACACAGTATGCATGTACCAAGTGTTAAAGCGTGGCTCTGCAATGCCAGGATTGCACCAGTTCATCATTGTAAATGCAATGATCTACCCATGTAGTAAAGTTTTATCAGTATTGTGAAAAATTTGGTTAATTTAGGATAACTCAGTTTCTGGGTAGGGAGAGCGCCCCCTATGTTAGTTTGGGTAATGTATTTCCCATCGTCATTTGCGGCCCGCCATCTTTGAGTTGGCTACTTTTTCAGTTTACTTTTTTGCAGTTGCTTATTTGGCACACAGATATTACGATTTCAACTGTGGGTGTTAAATCTGTTAACGTCCCTAATGTCTGTTTTGAAATGACTTATTGACACACATTGTTCGATGCTCACTCAATCTATTGAATCACAGTCCCTCTACCACAGAATTACTGTGAATGCATTTTTTGGAGGTTTGTTTCACCCATGGTCGACAGTTAAAGCGGAAGTCAAGCCAAAGAACACAATGCTCCCTAAAGAAAGACCTCCACAAATGTAGTAGAATGCAATTTACAATTTTTGTATATCACTTTTCTTTAAAAAGTAAAGTGTGACATCATAATACAACGGACGGCGACAGACGCCGACAGACAATCACTTATATCATAAGCTCCGCTCGACAAAGTCAACAGTGGAGCTAAAAAGTTCATCTAAAATTTTGCAAACAACTATTGAATCTAAACAAATTTTCTACAAATATTGCATGTAGAGCAGAGCTGGGAGAATTTCAATTATTTGTTGATACTAAAATAAATCTTATTAATTAACAAAACTAGCATTTCAAGAACAGATGAAGTCAAACTTATCATGGGGTATTTCAAATCAGAAATTAAATGCTGCAAGCAGCATTGGCGGGGTCCAAGCAGAATTGTCAGAAAAGTTATCTGGAGATACTCATTGAAATGGTGTGTTGATACCAATATCCCTGCATAATGAAGTGTAAACATGTTAAATATTTCTTTATATTCAACATCAGCATAACTACCATACTCGACCGCGTTAGCGCCCATGCCCGGGCAAGCGCCCACCCCCCACTTTTGCGCAATTTTTATATTTGGGGTCACATTCGGCAAAGCGCCCACCCCTTCAAAATGCAACTAATTTAAAACTTGGTCTTGCGTAACGAATCTTGGTAATCGTTTTTATATGATACAGCGTGGATATCGACCGCTGTGAACATGTTGTGAATGCGTAGAACACGGTAATCGTGCGTAAACTACGCTTCGACAATGACCTGTTAATACAAGTAAAATGCGGTAAATATTTCATGCCATATTCAGTTTACCTCTCAAAAATGGCTAGTTACTAGTTT